AATCCTCGTCAGATTTTTATTTCTGCAAGGAGATCGGAAGATAAAAAGCACCGCTCCACGGAAAGAGTTCCAAATGATGTTGTATTGGTATTCAACTCCGACGCGTTTCGGGGACTGCAAAGGTCCCTCTTTTAGCAGGGCTGGAGGTAAAGATGGGGTAGGCAACCTTGGTACTATGGGTGTTGTGGAACTACAAGCCCCATGAGGCTTTGCAAGACCCTAATAGCCACAGGCATGGCTCCCAGAGTGAGAGGGGTGATGGGATTTGTACTATTACAACAGCTGGAGTGCCAAAGTCACCTACCCCTGTTATAGGGTATATAGGTACAAGGGGCATGCTGGGATTTGTAGTTTCAGCGCAGCTGGAGTGCCGAGGTTGTGTACCGTTATAGGGTATATTGGTAGCCCAGAGGCATGCTGGGATTTGTAGTGTCAGCACAGCTGGAGTGCCGAGGTTGTGTACCGTTATAGGGTATATTGGTAGCCCAGAGGCATGCTGGGATTTGTAGTGTCAGCACAGCTGGAGTGCCGAGGTTGTGTACCGTTATAGGGTATATTGGTAGCCCAGAGGCATGCTGGGATTTGTAGTGTCAGCACAGCTGGAGTGCCGAGGTTGCCTGTGCCGGCTCTACAATCTGCACACATAGCAGGAACTCATTTAATATGTTTTATAGGTTTCCTGATAGACATCTTTCATAATGGACGTCTTGGCCGGACAAGCAGAGATTGATGTGTTCTTATCCCCCGGGGACTCGGGTTCATCTCATACACGTCTCCCCCCCACCCCGAGGAAACTCAGATGAAATGATTTCCTTATAATCTGTTTACAGAAGAAATCCCGATAATAATGAAATCCAAAGTGGGGGACATGAAACATGTTACTTAGATCTATTTCTGGGTATATTCGGCATCATCCCTCACCGGACGCACCGCAACTCCGGGCTCAAAAACTTCTATATACATATATTCCTCAATAGCCACAAAATGCCTTTACAAACCCAGATATTACCTTGTACATGTAGCAGTGGCATCATCACCGTACTGTACTGAGCCTGTGCAGAGAGCAGAGCTGTGGGAGGGGCCCAGCAGGCCCCACCTACTATAGAAAACTATAGGAGGGAGCTGAGACAAGACCAGTCACTCTGCACAAGGAGAGAGAGCAGCAGTGAGCGGTCTTTATTACAGGAGGGGGCGGAGACAAGACCAGTCACTCTGCACAAGGAGAGAGAGCAGCAGTGAGCGGTCTTTATTACAGGAGGGGGCGGAGACAAGACCAGTCACTCTGCACAAGGAAAGAGAGCAGCAGTGAGCGGTCTTTATTACAGAAGGGGCGGAGACAAGACCAGTCACGCTGCATAAGGAGAGAGAGAGAGAGAGCAGCAGTGAGTGGTCTTTATTACAGGAGGGGGCGGAGACTACACCAGTCACCCTGCACAAGGAGGGAGAGCAGCAGTGAGCGGTCTTTATTACAGGAGGGGGCGGAGACTAGACCAGTCACCCTTCACAAGGAGAGAGAACAGCAATGAGCAGTCTTTTTTACAGGAAGCTCCAAATCTCACTGGATTACTACACCAGGTGATAATAAAGGAGGAAAGTTTTGTTTGCCTTTAAAGGTAGAATAAAGGGAATTTGTTTTATGAAATTAATAAAAGGAATGCAGCCAGCACATTTATGGACTAGTAATCTGCAATATATAAAATTGGGGGGGGGGCCTTTGATAAAGCAAATTAATTGTGCCCATAGACGGCCTGGCTGTGCTGTCACCCCATCATTGTACAGTAGAGATGGTGTGTGGACTGGTGCCGCCACCTAGTGGTCAGATGTGAAATAGCAGAAGGACTTGTTGCTTCTCATACAACCATTGCTCTTTGCTAATAAGAGAATAGCTATTTTGAGTAGAATTCATCATTAAAAGAGACATTTATAGTTTGATGGACTAGACTTAATTACTGGAGCTGGGGAAGGGGGTTGCCAATATGCAAATTAGGATTTTTTTTTTTTTTACACCAGACACCCGGAATAGTTCTGTGTGAGAGTCTTTCCTTTCTCATGTCAAGAGGCAGAGCCAGCTGTACCCGCCCCCTCCCCCGTCCATTCCACCAGTCAGCACTGGCAGATCGGAGCGGGGAGAGGGGAATCCAGCCCCTCCCCCTGTCACGGCAGAGAGCCGTGACAGGATCGAGAGGTGAGCGAACCCGGTATGTGTTAGCTCACTTCCCGATCTACTGAGCCGACCTGTGACAGTCTCATTGTCACAGGTCGGCTAGAACTACGAGGTGAGTGGAAATCACTCACCCTTTATAGTTCTCCTTTAAAGGCACTCCTGACAAAGGCAGAAGGCACCTCAGGATGAGAAAGACCGACTTAGACCCAACCACAATCTAACTATTTAATCTTTATTTTCCTTCAGACTTCTCCGCTAGCACAGAAAGATAGATTGGGGGAGAATGTATCAAAACTAAAGCAGACAGCATTTGGAGGAGTTGCCCATGGCAACCAGTTACCCTTTCATTTTCAAAGCTTAACTGAACAGGAAAGCTGATTGGTTGCCATGGGTAACTGCTCCAGATTCCATCTGCTCCAGTTTTGATAAATTCCCCCCAATAAATCTTTTACCTCTCAGAGCAGAAACATTAAAAAGGGAGTGATCTCTGGGACTGCATGGTGTGGAGCCAGTCCTCCTGATCGTTGGTTGGAGACCAGGATCTTTCGTTGACAGCTCAGTCTCGCTGGTAGGCACATACTTTGAGCACAAAAGCATGCTGCATATATGCGCCGCCATGGATAGGAGCCCACTCCCATGATGACACATACGTGCGTTACGCCAGCGGGAAGGGGGTACAATAGCAATGGGGAGATGTAGCCAGTTTAGGTAAAAACCTTCCTTCCAGAGCTCTTCTGGCGTCTAATGGCTCTATATGGCCAACGTATGTGGCCTCCCCTCCACATTGAGTTCTCATGGTTCCAGTGAAGGGTACGGTCTATATACACTGACTTGCCAAAAACAAAAGTCCCCACCTGGATTTTGGGCAATGTTATGATCTGGGAGTGCTTCAGTTGGTCAGGTCTGGGTTCAGCAATGTTATGCCCAAAAATGAGATCAGCTGCTGTCCCTGAATATACAGAACCATCAGGTTTTTCCATCAATGGATGTTTTCTTCCCTGACGGCACATGATGGGAACATTCCAAGATGACAATGCCAGGATTCATCGGGCTCAGATTGTGAAAGAGTGGTTCAGGGAGCATGTGACATCATTGTCACACATGGATTGGTCACTACAGAGTCCAGACCTTATCCCCATGGAGAATCTTTGGGATGTGCAGGAGAAGACTTTACACAGTGGTCCGACTCTCCCATCATCACTACAAGACCTTGGTGAAAAACGAATGCAACTCTGGATGGAAATACATGTTGTGAAATTGTATAATCTTATTGAAACGATGCCGCGGAGAATCAAAGCTAAAGGCAGCCCAGGGCCATCATTGACGGTGAACTCTAAATTGATGAGCCGTAAAGCCTTTTAAAGCCTCGTCTATGGACAAAATTGGGCACCAAAGTTTTTCACTGTTTGGGGTCCTCGGTTCAAAGCCCAACCAGGACACGACCCGTATGGACTTTGAATGTTCTCCCTGTGCCTGCATGGATTTGGTCTGAGTACTCTGGCTTTCCCCCCACACTCCAAACACATGCTGGTAGGTCATAATTGGCCCCTGTCTACATTGGCCCTGTATGCATGTGTGATAGGGACCTTAGGATTGTAAGCTCCTTGGGGGCAGGGGCAGGGACTGATGTGATGTAAAGCGCTTGCCCTATATAAAGAATGATGTGAATGTGCTGTAGAGCGCTGGTCCTACAAGAGTTCCTGTATGTATTGAGCTCTTTGACTCAAGTCCATTACTACATCTGCCGCAGTTCTCCTCCCGAGTAACGAGTCCTTTAAAAACGCATTGAGCAAAAACAGAATTTAATTTGATAATTTACAGACAGCAGGAGCCGGTACAGAATAAACAAATCTGCTTATATACTTTATTATTAGTGCTTATATTGCTAGAAATAAAACATCTGGATTTCTCTTTTAGCATACGGAATCGTTCAGACTTTTCCTAACCATTGTTTGCTTGAAGATATATCGTAAGAAGGACCGATGGGGAGAGGTGGCGCGTACATCCTCCTCCTCCTCCTCACCACCACCACCACAGACGGCGCAGCACACACCACCTGACCCCTCGTCAGTCCTCCACACTTCAGTGACCACTCTCTCTCTTTCTCTCACTCTCTCCTACTCACAGGGACAAACAAAAATAAAAGGAAAAAAAACCCAAACTGTTGAACCAAAAAAAAAACAAAAAAACTTTAACGTTGTCAAAGTGTTCCTTGAGAGAGCTGGCATCTTTCACTTTCAGCATATACAGTACTTTCCTTCAGTGCCATTCAAGCTGCTCTCCATCTCCAGCCAATAGGCAGCTTGTAAACCATCAGCAAAGGAGGATCAACGCTGAACACGATGGCTGCTCGCTCCCCCCTTTTTTCTGAGAAGGCTCCTCTGCTGGCATAAACTCGAACGCACGTCAGAAAAAGATGGCGGAAAGTGGGAAAGACTGGATCCAAAAACACGTTGCATTGATTTACAGAAGAGACCGCGTCTTCCAATGCCGCCTTGGCGGAGGGGGGGAAAAAAAAAAAAAAAAAAAGAACCCAAATATACAGGTAGTTCCACAGTCCAGTGACTGGGGACCGGAGTCCGTGGAAGAGCTTCCTCAGTGTCGCCTCATTTTTACTTTCCGGGCCGGGCTTCCCTCGTCCTCCCCCGTGTCTGTGTGGTTGTCCACGTACTCGTAGGGCCTCCTCCAATAGTTCTCAGAGCTGACTATGCTCCTTCTCCTTGGTTTTGGTAAAACTACAGATCTTCGGTTTTCTTCTTTATCCATTTCAAGAACACGAGGTCTGAGGGGAAAAAAACAAATCCAGAGGGTTTAATTTAACGGTCCAGCTGCTGCCTCAAACGGATTTCATACACATGTCAATCAGGGAAAGGGTTTATGCATTTATTATTTATCAGCATTATAATAATAGGGACCAAAAGGGAAGCTACTCACACGTGACAGCTCAACAGCTCGCTCATGAAAATCATTGATTTAAAGCCCAACCCTGAGCGACAGTACTTTCTAGAGGAAAGAGGGGAAAAACCCATAACAGCTTGGGCTGCAATACCTACCCTCAATCCACAGCCATATTCCCTGCAGTAGTTCCAATACAGGTTTTCCTCACTCTTCTAGGCTGAATTCCACCCGGGAACTGGGAATATGCAGCGAGTAATTCTAGAAGATTGAGGATGAGCTGCGGATGTAATACTACCCGGGGGAAGACTGAGGAGGATGAGCTGTGGATGTAATACTACCCGGGGGAAGACTGAGGAGGATGAGCTGCGAGTGTAATACTACCCGGGGGAAGACTGAGGAGGATGCGCTGCGGATGTAATACTACCCGGGGGATACTGAGGAGGATGTGCTGCGAGTGTAATACTACCCGGGGGAAGACTGAGGATGAGCTGCGGATGTAATACTACCCAGGGGAAGACTGAGGAGGATGAGCTGCGGATGTAATACTACCCGGGGGAAAACTGAGGAGGATGAGCTGCGGATGTAATACTACCCGGGGGAAGACTGAGGAGGATGAGCTGCGAGTGTAATACTACCCGGGGGAAGACTGAGGATGATGAGCTGCGGATGTAATACTACCCGGGGGAAGACTGAGAGGGATGAGCTGCGAGTGTAATACTACCCGTGGGAAGACGGAGGAGGATGAGCTGCGAGTGTAATACTACCCGGGGGAAGACTGAGGAGGATGAGCTGCGAGTGTAATACTACCCGGGGGAAGACTGAGGATGAGCTGCGAGTGTAATACTACCCGGGGGAAGACTGAGGAGGATGAGCTGCGGATGTAATACTACCCGGGGGAAGACTGAGGAGGATGCGCTGTGGATGTAATACTACCCGGGGGATACTGAGGAGGATGTGCTGTGAGTGTAATACTACCCGGGGGAAGACTGAGGAGGATGAGCTGCGAGTGTAATACTACCCGGGGAAGACTGAGGATGAGCTGCGAGTGTAATACTAACCGGGGGAAGAATGAGGAGGATGAGCTGCGAGTGTAATACTACCCGGGGATAGACTGAGGAGGATGTGCTGTGAGTGTAATTCCACCCGGGAAGATTGAGGAGGATGTGCTGCGAGTGTAATTCCACCCAGGAAGATGGAGTAGGATGTGCTGCAAGTGGAGAGCGTTATGGAACTTTCACTAAATTTGTGTATTTAAACAATTTTCCTGGAGTTTTGCTGTAATTGCAAAGCTCTATTCCCACATTGGAGGGTGGGACCATTGAGGACCTCCAGACACTGGGACTTCAAGCCATTTGTTTCCCCTATTCATGTAAACTGAAGGAAGGTTCTCACAGATTGCAGCTCTTAACCTGGGTACGCAATCTCCTTTATATCTCCTAACCATGCAGTGTAAGGGCCTCTCTGATTGGATTGTTTAGAAGTTCATATGTATGACCAGCTATATAGACAGTATGAACAGAATCAGGAGCAATCACTGACCAAGCATTGGACAACCTAAGAGTAGACGGGAATAATCCATACCTGTGTGCTGCGTCAGGATCAGCTTTGCGGTGGGAGCGTTTTGGTTTCAGGATATGCTGCTTGTTGTTCCCAGACAGTTTTTCAGGGTGATAATTACCACTAAGGGCCTTTTCCAGGCGTGGAGCCTCTGATCTAGTTCTGTCAAAAAAACACCATTTATATCCCCAGTGGGTATAGGCAGAGCAGGATTGCACAGGGTAAGACAAATGATCTTAAAAGCCATAAAATGAAGGGGAGGATGTTTTGATGCCCACAGAAGAGACATGGGAAGGCTGATTACATTGTAACTGCATATACACAATTAAAATCTTAGTGGATTTCCGGCAGGATCAACAGGACTTTCTGTACTTGCAGAAAAAGTACTTTTCTGAAGAAAAAAAAAAAAACACACAACTAATGCAGCCACCATACCTAAGGGCTGGTAAGCTGCAAGATACAGTATGACATGTTTGTCCTTTGGTTTAGAAACACTTTAAAAGCTAAGTTTTGGATGGAACTGGGAAGGGTCGGGATTATATTGCTCTAGGAAAGGAGGTCAATGCCTCCGTGGTTTGTATTGAATGCGGGCATTGTTCCTAGAGTGGAGCACTGACGATTTTCTACTCCATTTAGGAATGTATTGCAGTCTGCGCCCCTAAAGGGGAAATTTCTCCTTTAATAGACACACAGACAAAAAAACACATTGGTAGAGTGGAGACGGGTTCGAACAGATACTACTGAGCTGGACAAATCCCAGGAGCCAGATAACCAATCCTCTTTAAAAGAGGATTTTTTTTATTTTTTTTTTAAAGAGGATTTAAAAAAAAAAACAAAAAAACAGCTGGCACCTAACTATTGAGGTCAGCCTTCAAACTAAATTGGCACACAAGTACTTATACACTTTTCTAGGTCCAGCGCAGAATCACTTATATCTATATAACTATTAAGTTTCACCGTCAATGGAGCTGGCTCCTAACAAAATCCTGAGGGCTTCTGGATTGGATAAATGGATTCTTGAATGCCACATGAATTTGTCCTGTGCATGTATTATATATGACTTCCTGTCCCAACAACTGTGCCCTCAAATTCTTGTACAGGCATGATAGGGACAAGAAGTATAAAATGCTCCCCCCCATGGGGTCTTGGGCATGAATAAAAACAGGACATCAAATTTTACCTCTTCCCCACTCTAAAAAACAAAACCATTTGGTTGGAATTAGACTTTAGTAACAGCACCAAGTGTCTGCACGTGCCATCTGAAACCAGCACCTGTGTGTTCCGGGGTCCTCAGACATAGGTGCCATGAGGATACAGACTTGGTGCTCGTTCACACGACCCATGACAAGGCAAAAGTACCTCGTCTTGTGTTTGGGCTCTGCTGGAAAAAACAGCCAGAGCAACCCAAATGCAAAACAAGGCAATTTGTCAAGGGTAGTGGACAGTTCATACCGTGTTTCCCCGAAAATAAGACTGGCAGGGGGGCGGGAGGGAGCAGCCTCTCCGCTCTGATCCATTACAAGGAGAAACACAGGTGGGTGGGCGAGGGGGCGTGTCTGGTATGGGGCGAAAGGGAGCTGCCTCTCCGCTCTGATGTCATCCAGAGAGCAACAGCGTGCGGGTAGGTGGACGGGCGAGGGGGGCGGGAGGGAGCTGCGGCCGGTCTTCACATGTGAAATTGAATTACATGTGCAGCTACCCCGAAGGTAAGACTTAGCGCTATCTTCAGGGATGTCTGTAATATAAGACCTACCCCAAACTATTTCTTATTTTCGGGGTAGGTCTTATATTACAGAAATCCCCGAGGATAGCACTAGGTCTTATTTTCGGGGTAGGTCTTACTTTCGGGGAAACACGGTACTATTGTGTTCCAGTGGTGTGTGCTTAAAGTATGGAATGCAGTGAGACGTAGTGCAAGCACGTCATACCACAGTGAGCCCATAGAACATAATGAAATATCACTTTGACATTTCAATAAAGAAAAGCAAAATAAAAAGCAAAACATGTGGTGCACATTGGCACTGTCCAGGCACAGCAGCAGCCATGCCCGAGTGTGACTGCTGGTGTGTGAACAATCCCTTAAAGAACAAAATTAGAGCACTGGTACACGCCATACAACTATGCAATGCTTTTAATCTCATCAAGTTGCTGAAGAGCGTGCTCTGTATCATCATCAGAGAATAAAATGTTGCTTTCCTAAGTCAGGATCTACAGTGTTGGGCTCCATGAAAGGACAAAACACAGGAAGTGACAGCTGAAGAGCAGAGGGAGGAGAATGCCAGGTGACGCCAACTATGCTACAAATTCTTCTTCTACACAACCAAAAGGAATGCGAGCATTTGCCTGGGGGAATCGGGATTGCTTGGACGACACCAGGAATCAAAGATGGCTTTTCCTCATAGCAAACCTCAAAATGGTTTCGTATGATTAAGACAACAAAATTGAGGGGAATTTATCAAAACTGAAACAGCTGTACATGGCAACCAATCAGCTTCTCGCTTTTATTTTCAAATATTAAACTGAACAAACTGAAGAGACAAGCCGATGGTTGCATTGCACAGCTGCTCACGATTTTGTCTGCTCCAGTTTTGATAAATAACCCCCCCCCACCAATAGTATTTGTAAGCCAGGGTGGGCAACTATGGCCCCCCAGCTGTGCTTTAATTACAAATCCCATCATACCTCTGGGAGTCATGTCTGTAACTGTCAGTCTTGCAATGCCCCATGGGACTTTTAGTTCTACAAGTGCTGGATTATTTGCCCACCCCAGTTTTTGGCTCATGTATGACATTCAATAGCTTGTAGCAATAACAAGTTTGCTTTACAAAAACAAAGTGAAAGCAATTTTCAAACTTACTTTCTAAGTATTACCACAGCGCGTCTCTCCTTTATGTCTTGTGGTCTAATGCAGTGTGTGATTTCATCTGCTGCGTACCCACTGCAAGGAAAAAAAAAATAAAAATATTATTTATATACCGTATATAAAATCACAATCTTGAAACTTTGTTTTTTACTCAGAAACCACATTGGTCATCTATGGCACAAGTGTAATAACAGTAACCCACACCAACCATGCAGATATCAGGTTTGGATAGCCACTGATAATATATTTCCGGTTGCTGATTTGTGTTAGTGCAGGGGTAGGCAACTCCGGCCCTCCCAGCCGTGCTTTAAACTACAAGTGTACAATGCCAGTCATGCATGTAAGGCCTCAGTCACACGAGAAAAGGCCGGCACGTACAGCTCAGTGCACAGCCTTATCGGGCAGCTCCCGGGAAGGAGAGGTGCTGCGTGTGATTAGTACGCAGGCCCTCTTCTCTATGAGAGTACGTGGCTGTACGCCACCCTACGCGCAGATCCTTACGGGTGCGCCAGATCCATCCTGTCAGCGTACGAGTACGGACACCCGCATGGACGTGCAGGGCGGCGTACTCCCATTGAGAAGATCAGGGCCTGCGTATTAAATCACACACAGCACCTGTCCTTCCCGGGAGCTGCCCGATACGGCGTGCACTGCGCTGTACGTGCCGGCTTTCTCTCATGTGAATGAGGCCTAACTGTCCTGTAGTTTCACAACAGCAGGAGTTGGCCACCCCTGGGTTAGTGCACGACGGTTTATGCCGTTATGAAGGCCAATGTCTGAATCTGCCGCCAGGCACAATCTGCTTATAGTCCCAAACTGTAGCTAAAACATTTTTAAGAACGCAGATATAACAGGGCACAAACAAAACAGTTGATTATAAATAAAAGGTGTGAATGACACTGACTGACACACACTTTCTTCAAGGAGGACCCAGGTAAACTTAACATTGAAGCATTGTCTGTGGACTTGCACCGAGGTGAAGGTACAATGACCATGCTGTATAGGTAAGCAGTGAATACATAATTAATATACAAACGAGCAAACATTGCTGTATGTGTACACAGATTATAAAGAGACAAACAAACCATTATAGTGACTATAGATCTCCTGACACCATTCACTGTTCTAGGACAAAGTCTGGCTTTACATACACCAACAATGCCCGACTGTATACAAAGAACAGACATACCTGGGCAATGCCAACACAAGCATATGTTGAGAAAACTACGCGCGTTACCTTAGCTGCCCTGGTTGAATGGCAAAATATGGATTTGGGGGGGGGGGGGGGGGGGGTCACAATTTCTACAGCAAAAGTCAAGATTTGCAATAAAACGTCAGCAGCCCATTATCTCTGACTGTACTGATCATTCAGATATGAGGGTTTTCATTGTAACTATGCTTCATGCTTATGCATTTGTTTTTTATCAAGTGAGCAAATTTTAATGACAGGTTTACTTTAAACAGATCACAGTCAGGAGGAGAAAGAAGAAACAAAAGAAAGAAAAAGAACAAAAAAAATGAATATACCACAGAACTGGGAAGTATTAAAGTGGACCTTTACACCCTTTTACTAAAATCATATCAGCCTGTAGCTCTGCGTGTTATTCTACTTCCTGGTTGAATGAGGCACTGGTGATGTAACCCTGGCCTTCCTGAGAAATCTCATTTGTAAACTGCAAAAATCTCAAGACATCTCAGAAGGGGACGAAAGTTGTCGTTAGGACACTGTCCTTCCTTCTGGAGGGGGGCTACTTTTGTTCCCCATGGTCCCTGTGTGTGGTGTAATGTAGTCACCGCTCCAAGCTCGCTCTCGGAATGGACTACAAATCTCATGTTTAGTTTACCGATTTGTATTGAGATTGTAGTCCCATCACGGGAGCGAGCTTGGAGTGGTGACTACTTTACAACAAACACAGAACATGGGGAATTCAAGTAGCCCCCCCTCCAGAAGGAAGGACAGTGTCGGCACAAATTCAGAGATGATTTGAGGATCCACAGCCGAGTGATACACAAATAAGTTACATTTTTGTTAATAGTGGAGGTCCTTGAATACATGTTTAAGTTTTTACTCCTGAGTTTAGAGTCACTTTAATCATCTGCAAGAGGTAGAATGGTAAACTCATTGACCAGTAAATATTGCGTCAATCAGTAACCGGCACCATTGGCAGTGTAAGTAGCAGATCATGCCGGCTCCTGAGACACTAGATCCAGTTTCACAGTCTACAGTGTCCTAATATGGCTGCTGTAAGGACAAGCCAGCGGCGGTTCCAAATTTGGAAGACCCGACGAGAACACTCGAGGTCCCTGTCAACATATCCCTAGTCTGTGACAGAAATCGCGCATATGTATTCACAGTGTAAACGAGAAATCACGCTCTGATCACATATCGGGCGCGGATAAAGTAAACCCGATGGACCAGACTCCTACACATCACAATAAATGCCGACATTACTGATATTCAACACTGAGCTCCAGAAATATGAATACAGATCTGTATTCATCAATATGCCATAAATATATCTTGATTAATATATATCAGCTTAAATACCTGAATTTTAGCTGAAATCAGTCTTTTGCAGTGAACTGTACAGCAGGCTTGATAGGAGGAGAGAGCTAAGTGATGGGGGGGGGGGGTTCGGGGGCAACGCAGTGCAATAACCTGATATTGGTTATCGGCCAATATGTTTTATTCAGAACGGATAATTATGGGCCACCTATCAGGCCGATAACTGATATCAGGCTCCGAAACACCAAACCTTGCAGCGGCGGCAGCTGAATGTCAACAGCAGGTAATGGGCCCGACATCGCTCGGCTCGGACCCTATTGATGGCAGTAAAGGGGAGCCTCCACCCCCCCCCCATCCCACCGTGCCAGTGGCTAGATTCCGCATACAACTGTCGGGTCCGCTTCTCTGCTAGGCACTGGCTGTCAGAATAGAAAAGCCCAAGAGGGAAGATGGCTCCATCCGCGCTGTTTAGTAGGGCTGGAGAAATCCATGTGTATGATCAGCTTAATAGTAACGTGTCCTTTGCTATCCTCTTATTTGCAAATACAAAAAACACGCAGCAATACCTACATCAGATGCTTCCCATAAATACAGCAATATTCAATTGGGCACCATTATGTTACAACTGGAAATATCTGATAGCTGTCAGGAAGCGGCTTGTCTAGATCTTTTAAGTTCCACTGGGTGATACAAATATATAATCCGAGGCTTAAAAGCGAATGACTCCTCTGCCCTTTACAGCCGGATTACATAAAACTCTAATAAGGTTACTCCACAGAGCAGCCACCAGTAATCAGATCAGTCAGAACACAAAGATGGCAGATATGACAAGGAAGGCGTTCTTTAGAGAAGTGCTCTTGCTCGTGGGATTTTAGGGCAGGTTCACACCATTTTCCAGACCAGATCTGGTCCAGAAAATGGTGTGAAACTGCCCGCAGATCCAGTGCATTCCAGACCAGACAAAATGAGACCAGCAGTATTTTCTGGTCTGGAACAGAGTGCGCTGGTGTGAACAGAGGCCAGGAATAGCATAGGGATACATTAGGATGCATTTTGGGTCTGGAAAAGATCTGGTCTGGATGTGGTGTGAATGGACACTTAGGCTGGCAAATGCGGTCAAAACAAACTACTAACATTCATGCGGACTCCACACCTGCAGCCTTGCCTAAAGTTTGGAAGGACCTGGAAATAAACATTTGCAGGAAGTGCCAGCACATGAATGACCAGCCTGCTTGGTTTAATCTGAGCATTTGGCAACAGATGACCTGGCTCCCTAGACTGAACTTAAGGCCTCAAAGGGGCGTGCATGCCCGTAAAAAGATCTTGAAGGGAAAGGTTCTGCATGTAATTGGGATAACGCAGCTGCACTTAATTACACGCCGACACATGCGCACCCAAATCTGCACATCCGTGCGGGTCCAGGTGTCCGTACTTCTACAGAGACAGTGCGAGTCCAAGTGCAGTCACCCAGACCCACACAAATGTGCAGGTTGGGGTGGGTGCGACAATTATTAATATTATACAGGATTTATATAGCGGCAACAGTTTGCGCAGCGCTTTACAATATAAGGAACACATTACAATACAATTGAAGACGGTAAGGGGGCCCTGCCCGTGAGGGCTTATGATCTAAAGGGTAATTGCATATAGCTTTTGGCCCTTCTGGGGTCGGTCTTTTTACTGATGTGCGCACCGTACGGACCTGTATGCCCGTGTGAATGAGCCCTAAAATATATGTGTACTGATGAGCCTTGACACACACACACACAGCCTCCTATCCCTAACAGCCAAGGAAGGCTCCATCTTGGCCTCTGCTTGGATTGCAGTTGCCATGGTGCTGCACATGTGATCAGCTATGACACCAGCCATTTGCAGGCTCGGAAGTTTGGTTGAGAGGTGAAATAAGCACACTGACAACTAATAACTGGGAGACATTTAATTGGTGGGTAACTTTCCATACAAAACAAAGACCCCGGCAGGCTACAAATGGCCGCCAAGTTTTTATCTGTTACCACTCTTCTGGAATTCCAGTTTCATGAATAGTATCTCTTGTTTAGGAACTTGATGGGTTCCGAATACTAAAACCACCATCTTCCAGAACGGTTATAATCAAGCCCAATGGTGGTTTTGGTTTACTGGCCCCTCATGCCAAGATGATGACACTTGGCCATCCCCTGACCTGAAGCAGATGGCTTTCTGGGATAGTGACAGATGTAACACGGTGAAGGATAAATGAGACCGGCAGTGCCCTTCAGTTCATACACTCAGCCCTCAGGAATCAGACAAAGGAAGTGACGTGACTAATTGTATCCTCCTCACATGAGCAGGGAGTTCACTTACAAACTGAAATGCACCTAAATACTTGTACTGAGAAAATACAGGGATTCCATCGCCAGATTCCCAAAAATACCAGCTGCACGGCAGACATAGAATGAGGAAGTCCACTTTTTTACAAAAATGTGAGAAAATGAACTTACCGTACCCACACCACTCGGCAACCCACAACCTCTCCCTTTTCATAGCCACACCACTCGGCAACACCCAACTTCTCCCTTCCCCCCTGTTCATAGCCAAACCACTCGGCAACCGACAACCTCTCCCTGTTCATAGCCACACCACTCGGCAACCCACAACCTCTCCCTGCCCCCCTGATCATACACACACCACTCTGCAACTCCTCTCTGCCCCCCTGATCATACACCCACACCACTCGGCAGCCCCCAACCTCTCCCTGTTCATAGCCACACCACTCGGCAACCCCCAACTTCTCCCCTCCCCCCTGTTCATAGCCACACCACTCGGCAACCCACAACCTCTCCCTGTTCATAGCCACACCACTCGGCAACCCCTCCCTGCCCCCTGCACATACACACACACACACACACACACACACACACACACCACTCTGCAACCTCTTCCTGCCCCACTATTCATAGCCACACCACTCGGCAACCCCTCCCTGGCACCCTGTTTGTACCTTTAAGCTGCAAGTGCTAGCCCCACTACCTGCAGCCAGTGTATGGTCCATGCACTACACTGCAGCCCCACAGTTAGTATTAAGCATAACGATTTTATTTAGAGACACCGATTAAAGCAAAGCTCCTAAAGCTGCTGCGTGTCCCCAGAAAATGTCAGTGTAACTGGCTTCTAGCACATTAGGGCAGACTTAAAGCCCAACTCCGGACAGTAGAACCTCTCCAGGTTTATCTCAGTAAACATGCCTTAGCCTCACCTGCTGCCCTCCATTCATGCAGGTTCTCTAGTGTCTTTTGTGTACATGTCCGACTAGTACAAGCCCCCGCCCCAGCGGCTCAGTCATCAGCTCCCCCTGGCCATTCACAATACGGCGCCTGGGGCCACGGTGATAAGCTCTATGGAAGCTGGAACACCCTAGAAGCAGAGTGGGAGCTGTACTGATCTGGCAAATTCAAATTCTTAAGATGCTGAAGAGAGACTGCCTAAATTGTGGTTTGCAGGTGAAAGGCCAAGGCAAGTTTGCCGATATAAACCTGGAAAGCTTTAGACCTGCATCCCAGCTTGGCCACCTACAAGTTCCCCACTCCCCCTTGTTGCTCCATTTTTTCCCCATGGTCCTTGTGTGTGTTGTAAAATAGTCACAGCTCCAATCTCACTCCCGTGATGGACTACAATCTCAATACAAAATCAGTAAACTAAACATGAGATTGTAGTCCATCACGGGGGCAAGCTTGGAGCGGTGACTACTTTACAACACACACAGGGACCATGGGGAACAAAAGTAGCCACCCTCCAGAAGGAAGGACAGTGTCAGCACCAATTCAGAGATGCTTTGAGGACCTACAGCCGAGTGATACACAAATAACATACAATTTTGTTATTAGTTAGGGTACTTGAATGGCTTTCAGATTTAAATCCTGAGTTTAGTGTCACTTTAACCTTGTGCTAGTAACCATCACAGGTGTCTTGCTCAGACCTCCTACCACGCAGCTGTTTTACCAGCCCTCACAATCCTCTTCAAAGCTACCAGCACTCATAGCTACTGGGCTTTCTCTAGCTGCACCTCAACCTAGACCACACATGCATGATGCAATGTGCACTGGACAGCAATAGGATATACATAAAAAACAACCAGAGCTGCTGAGTTATGATAGCTAAGAGCTACTTAACAGCACTACCAAGAAGGACACCGCTGCCGGTTAGCAGGGGTCCAGTATAAAGGATTTCCATTATTTTCTGTGAAGTGTTTTAGGTCTAAACCTGAAGTGAGCATAGCATGCAACTAAGATACAGTTGCAAGCTTATTGTTATACACATCCAGGATGTAAAAGTTATATTTACATGAAAGCAATTATGAAAATGAGGGATTAGAACACCACCCTAAAGCCACCTCTTTCCGCTATACTACTGAATACAACAAAAAATGATGCATTACAATATAGAATGCTGAAATACTGCCATTATCTAATGAAAATACAATTATTGTGGGTTGATGTCTTTAGGAAGCAATTAAACGGTTTGGAAAGTCAAACCTAATGCCGTAAGCACCTGTCAAGTCTCGATATGTTATGTTACATTTTGCTCTGAACTCTATGCCACATACTTCTGTATATATACTCCTATAAGCCACGGATCGGTTAGTCCTCATCCAGTTTCCTATACAATCCTACACTAGTGCTAGCAAGGCTGCTGTGACCACATAGCCTGGTGTTCGTCCCGTCAGATGTGCTTGCAATCAATGACCTATTTCGTACAGCAAAGCAGCCTGGGGTGTTCTTGTGTCCTGTCATCAAGGCATTACCCCGGATTTACTGGGACACATTATGCCATCCTAGCTTGTAAACACCAACTTATCTTAGCAGCTCAGCAGTCTGGAGAAGTACAGGCAACAGTAGCAGTCGAAGAACCACAAGTAACAATATATCTCATCTCCTGTCCTGCTAATCTTCAATGATTATGGTGGAACTCGAAAATGTAAAAGGAACCCTAAAGGACATTTATAGGAGATTGAAATGCAAATTCACCTGCAGTCATGGGGATCTAACCCATCATATAGCCCCTTAAGCCAGTGTTAATACATACTCATACCAGACTAATTGGTAGCTTCTGAGTGATAACAGACCCAAGCATTGCATGTAATGAGATTCACATCAAGGCAGATCCTAGCTCTTTCTCAACCTTTGTAAATGATCTCTAGGGTATATCAATTATTTTATAGCTTATTAGTTGCTGTGACATTACAAATCTATCTTACAACCTTATGGGATCCAACTGAGCAGCAGCAGAACAGACTCACCCTATAACCATCAAGCTCACATCTCTATAGCTGCTGATGGGACTATAAGCACCAGCATGCCCTGCTATTAAGTCATTTGTTTTGCCACTTGAAGTAACAGATTATGTATGAACAGTTTCATCCTCCTGACCGATGATGCCGGTACTTATAAACCCACAGAAACAGAAGATCCACAGGACAATATTCTACCACCATACCACCAGTGGCATGCAGAGGAACTATACATTTCAGCAAACTATATCACACAGCCTGTGACCCCCCCCCCCCGGCAACTTGGCATTTTCAGCTCTTCTGCAGCACAGCTTAAAAAAAAAAAATTTTGGAATTACAAATAAAAGCGTCAACATTGATAAGCTAAGCAACAAGCGGACCGGAATTCAGACCCTCAATGTCGTCGTCCCCCCAGTTACCTGAGCAAGGTGACGCTGCCCCTGTGCACAGGCAAGAAGAGCACCGGCTCAGACACGCGGATGGGCTTGAACTGAAACTTGCAGCCAAAGCACAGGGCTGAGTCGCTGAAGAAGGACACTGAGACGATGGGCCGCTCGAAGATGTGGATGGGGTCCACGTGGGAGACTATACAACCTCCGGGCTGGTAGTCATTGATAACAGCGCTGTTTACGAAGCCGTCGGGGATGAGGCGGTGCTCCACCAGGCGACGGATGACCAGCTCGTGCACCCAGTCCGGGATATCATCCACGTCACCCTTGGGGGGGGGAGGTAAAGAAAAAGACAAGGTCAATGGATCAATAAATTAATATTCAAAAAGGTGCAACTGGTAAGAGTTATTGTTACAAGTGCAAAAATACAGCGGAAATACAGCGGGCCTTCCAAGAAAATGCAAAACCTTCATGAGTAATATTAAACTTACAAACTTTCTAGTAACGAATTTGGATCAAACAAATGTACATTGTCCGGCAAAGCATTTCTTTAGATTTCCGCTCCAAAACTTAAGGTGCCCATACACCTTACGATTATCAGACGATTTTGGTATGCGATCGACTTTTTGGCCGATAATCGTATGTGTGCATTGCAGTGTCCGACCGACAGTACTGTATAAATCGTACGACTTTTGACGGTCAAGCATGTATGAAAACTTTGCTAGATCCTACGATTGTCGTAAGGTTGCTGGCCTTTCCATCCCGTCAAAAGTCGCACACGATCTACACTGCGCATGCGCGAACGAAAATACGGCAAAGCAATCACCGCATTTCGTCCAGGTGCTTTTCGAAAATCGTACGACTATTCGATCATCGGACGAAAAGTTTCGGCCGATAATCGTAAGGTGTATGGGCACCTTTACATTTGTCGTGTTTCTGAACAACTCCAACTCTCAGCTTCCCTGAACTTCCTGACCAATACAAGATCACAAAAGGACAGATCAGACTCCAGCAACTAACCATCTACTAGCTTAAAGAAGAAAGGAGCAGAATGTCTTGCCTTGCTGCGTCTGTGAAGCCACACGCAGCTTACTAGCACACACAAGGGTGGCTCCATAGGACCCCGCAAGGCAAAGGTGCCACCCGAAAACAGGATATCAGGGCCAGTGTAGAGGAAAAGCTGTTTCTGCAGGAAACAAAACTTTTAAACATCAAGAAGCAGCGTCCATCATCAGTGATTTAATCAGCATTTTAAAATCGCTTAAAAACCTTTTGACTGTCGTATTACTTTCTGGGACCCCTCCCCAAATCATCTAGGTGAACTCTACTTGTAAATGGGAAAAAAAAACTGAAGTTGGAATTATATTTTCCTTATTTTCCATCCCCCACATTGCTTGAAGTGACATTGCGTCCCGCTCAGTGTCTGCAACCTCCCTCTGCCAATCCAACCGCTCAGTGTCTGCAACCTCCCTCTGCCAATCCCTGCACTGGCTTCCAATAGCCCAAAGGGAAGCCAAAGATGTATAAACTAACTTTACAGGCACATTTTATATCTACTGACAAACCAAGGGGGGGCCCTGGCCAATGTTACTGTAGGACCCGCTATGATAACTTCAACAGCACCCTGTCTAGCCAGTTAAATGTAAAAGGACGGCACCTATACTTGGATCGCCGATGTGGTTCTGAGCGAGGACGGTTGCCCAGTAGAATAGCCTAAAACTACTGTGGAACACCAAAAACCTGGAGGCTAAAATCCAAAGAGAACGTTGCATGTAAATGCGCCTCAAGCCACTTTGAGGGCAGATTCACAGAGCTGGTCCGGAAAATGGTGTGAACCTGCCCGCAGTTCTAGTGCATTCCAGACCAGACCAAATGAGACATGCAGTATTCTTCTGGTCCGGTCCAGATTGCGCTGGTGTGAACAGAGGACAGAAATAGCATAGGGATACATTTTAGGTCCGGAAACAATCTGGTCTGGTGATCTGGATGTGGTGTGAATGGGCCTTTAGAGCAGAACATCTAAACTAGGGGTAGACAACCTCGGCACTGCAGCTGCTGTGGAACTCCCAAAATGACTGATTGCCGCAGGACTCCCAAGAGGAAGAGGCATGATAGGTTTTATAGTCTCGCCAGAGTGCTGAGGTTGTCTACCCTTGATCTAAACGCAGGAAGAGGTGATCTGGGAAGCTGGGAATTGCTTTATTCTCCCCAATAACGTCTCCTATCTTTAGAAAAGCTGCACCTAGGAGTGCCAGTTCCTCACAGCGAAGGGTTAGAACGCCTGCCAGGTTTTACTCCTGCCTGTGACAGAGTTTTCCCCTCACTTCCTGTTCTGTTGAGACCATATTCACAAGACAGGAAGTTAGGGCGAATCTCCAAGGGCAACACAGACTGGAATAAAAATGCTTTTCTTTAGCAGAATCGAAATCTAGAACCCAATCAGAATTATATCCCAGTCTGGCTCCTTGTTGCAGATTTTTCCTCACTTCCTGTCTGGTGATACTGTTGTCAGAGGAAGTGACAGGAAATATCTCACAGAGCCATGGATAGCAGTAAACTCCTGTCAGGGGGTTCTATTCCTTCCCTACTCCATCCAAAACTGAGAAAAATGTTTTGGTCTGATATGCACTTAAAGGAGAACTATGAGGCGAGTGCTTTTCACTCACCTCATAGTTCTAGCCGACCTGTGACAATGAGACTGTCACAGGTCGGCTCAGTAGATCGGGAGGTGAGCGAACACATACCGGCGTTCGCTCACCTCTCGATCCTGTCACGGCTCTCTGCCGTGACAGTGGAGGGGCTGGATTCCCCCCCTCCCCGCTCTGCCTGTGCTGACTGGCGGAATGGACAGGGGAGGGGGCGGGTACAGCTGGCTCTGCCTCTAGATAGGCAGAGCCAGCAGTCAGTCACGCAGCTGGGCGGATCCCGGCATAATTGTCGGGATCTGCTTCGGCAGAGGCGTCTCAGTATACCGCGAGCTACAGCTCGCGGTATACTGAGCCTAGGGTGATGGGAGGACGCTAGTTTGTGTCCTCCTGTTACCCTAAGGAGAACTATGGGGAAAAGCCTTAACCCCATAGTTCTCCTTTAAAGGAGTTACAGTTCCCTGTCTGATGGGTGGAGAATACAACTGCTGTTGCCACGCAGCACTACACCCCCCCCCGTAACTGGTCTCTCTTCAGCTATGTGGGAGTACCCCCCTTGGGGCTCCTCGGGAGTACCCACCTTGAGGTATAGCCTCCCTTCTCTATTGGTAGTACACACGTGGGTGATGATGCTCTCCAGCTAGTACCACAGTTACCAATACTCCAATGACAGTACAGTCTGGCTAAAAGTAGTCATTAATGCTGCTGCTCTCAGTGGAAAATACCCAGGTCTCTGGGAGTACCCACTTTGCAGTTACATAAGTACCCAGTTTAGCAGAGCCTGCTCTATGGGAGTACTCACCTTAGGGTGCAGTCTATACCCCCCAATATAGGTACCTAGATTTTGTCACGTGCTCCTCCAGCTGATCAGAGTACCCAGGCTGAATCACGTGTTCCCTGCCAGTACCCACGTTAGGTAGTCACGTGTTCCCCAAGACTACCCAACTTGAAACAAAGTCCCCTCTACTGATCACGTGCTTCCCCCGGAGTACCCACCTTGGGGTAGAGGCGCTCCTGGCCCGGGCCCCTTCTCTGTAGCTGGGCCCCGTACGTGTAGCCCTCCCCTCGGATCCCGCTCCGCACCTTCCGCGCCTCCTCCTCCTCTTCCAGCTCCGCCTCTTCGTCCTCCGTGTCCGAGGCCGGCTGCTTCCTCTTCTTCACCTCCCGGGACTGCAGCTTCTCGCGCAGATCGCTGTAGCCGCTGGCGGACATGGCTGGGTTCTGGGGAAGGGGGGCGGGGCTGGCG